GACGTCACATGGCCAACGAAGCGCTCGAACCACGCCCGTGGTGCTTGATGGAGGCCATAGAGGGATTTGGAGAGAAGGCATACGGTGTCCGGGCGTTGAGAGTCGACGAAGCCCGTTGGCTGCTGGCAGTAGACCTGCTCCTGAAAATTGCCATGGAGGAAGGAGTTGGAGACGTCAAGTTGGTGAGCCGACCAGTTTGCGTAGCCACGAGCGTGAGCACGGTACGGATTGTGGCCGGCTTGACCACCGGGGAGAACGTCTCTCCAAAGTCGACGCCGGGACGTTGGTGGAACCCCCGAACGACCCAACGGGCCTTATAGCGCTCGAGTGTGCCGTCGGGGCTGAATTTGTGCTTAAACACCCACTTGCCGGTGATGACTCTAGCGCCTAGTGGACGAGGGACGAGTGTCCAAGTTCTGTTGGCCTGCAACGCATCAAACTCACACTTCATGGCGGCGTACCAATGCGAATCCTTGACGGTGGAGCGAACACTGTGGGGGATCAGCGAGACGTTCGCAGACGCCGTCAGCGTGTACTTCGGGTTTGGCTTGTGGATGCTGGCTTGAGCGCGGGTCACCATGGGATGGCCCGCGTTGCTTGGTGTAGCCATGCTGGGTGCAGCCGATGGCGCGACCGGTGGCGTGGGCGTGGTCGCGATTGAAGAAGGCGCAGAAGGCGGTGAAGGCGGGGGTGAAGCCGTCGGAGCAGTGCTACTGTTTGGCATCGCAGTCGATGGAGGCGGCTGAGGTGCCGCTCGTGTCGTTCGGGCGTGCTTTGGACGCGCCGCGATGGCGTCGACAAGTCGTGGCGGTGTTGATGCTGTCTGTGGGGGCGGCGCGGCACGTCGGCTGGGGAGGCGAGGAGGCGGATCCTCGAGCACCGGTGGTGGTTGAGGTGTGACTGTGTTGGTGGTCGGGTAGCCGATGAAGACGCACGGTGTGGATCGACGTGATCACCCGACGCGTCGCGACGTCGTAGCAGCGGTAGCCATGATGGTCCGTCGGGTAGCCGATGAAGACGCACGGTGTGGATCGGTGGTCGAGCTTGTGCCGCGACGTGGCCATGACGTTGGGGAAGCAGCGGCAGCCAAACACGCGCAGCTCGTCATAGGTCGGCGCGACGCCGAAGAGCAGCTGGTACGGCGTCAGCGTGCCTGTGGCACGACAGGGGCGGCGGTTGATGAGGTAAGTCGCCGTGGCTAGCGCTTCTGCCTAGAACTCCGTCGGCGCAGCACTGTGAAGAAGCATAGTTCGAGGACAATCGTTAAGAGTACGGAGCACGCGCTCTGCCTTCCCATTTTGCTGCGACGTGTAGGGGCAAGACAGTCGCAGCTGAATGCTGTGCGCTGAGAATAGCAGGCGTAAGGCATTGGAATCAAATTCCTTGCCATTGTCAGTTTGTAACGCCAAGATAGGTATCCTGAACTGATTCTGAACATAGGCGATAAAAGCGCTAATGGTGGGCAATACCTCAGATTTCTGCCGAAGGGGAAAGGTCCACAGATAGTGTGTATAATCATCAAGAAAAACAACGTAGTATTTATAGCCAGAGTAACTGTAGACAGGAGATGTCCAAACATCTGAATGTAAAAGTTGAAAAGGAAAATAGGAATGTGTGGTGGAAGTGCTGAACGGCAGACGCACATGTTTGCCCATTTGGCAAGAGGAGAAGACATGAGCATCGGATTTATTACATTGAAACTGAAAATTATGTAAAATGTGAGAAAGGACAGGATGCCCTGGATGTCCCAACCGCTGGTGCCATAAGGAGACCTCTGAAGAAGCAGCGAGGGCCTGATGATGTGGGAGCCGAAGAGGGTAGAGGTCGCCCGTGCTCTCACATCGGAGCATCTCCGCCCTGGTACGAAGATCCTTAATGGAAAAGCCAATAGGGTCAAATTCAATCGAAACGTTATTGTCACGAATGAGGCGTCGAACAGAGATCAAATTTTTAATCAGGGATGGTGAGACAAGAATGCCATTCAATTGAAGAGGAGAGGTGGCAGTAGGAATGAGTGTTTGTGCTTGATGTGTGACTGGCATGTGAGCACCATTGCCTACTGTGATGACAGAAGATGAAGGATGAACTGAGAAGGAGTTGCAGTTACCAGGGGACGAGGACATGTGCGACGTCGCGCCGGTGTCGAGGTACCAGTCCGACGCACTCGGCGGAGCATGTGGGACGCCGGCGGAGTTGAGGGCGGCGTAGAGCGCCCCGGTGTCGAAGACGTTCGAGGGAGCGCCGCCGTGATGGGCCGCCATCATCGCTTGCTAGTCATCGCTTGCTGGGGCTGGAACGGGGGACGTGGGCCGAGGACACCAGCCCCGGGCGAGCGGAAGGGCATGGGCCAGGTCTGCACCATGCCCTGCCATGGGTTGTATCCCGCTGCCCATGGCGCGGACCGATTGTTGTTGGAGTTGTTGGGGCGCGCGCCGCCGCCACCGCCGCGACCACAGCGCTGGTTTAACCTTTTGTTGGCGCCGCCGTTGTTGGAGCGATTGTTGGATCAGGGCACGTTGGAGGCGGAAGACACATCATTGTTGGTTGCGAAGGCAGAGCCGGAGGAACCGCTGGATCGCTCGCCATGAGTGGCAGCGAGGGCCTGACTAGCTTCAACGTTGGGGTCGTTCTGGACGCTGATGTCCTCGAGGATGAGGAAGGATCGGGCGATCATGAAGTTGTGCGGCGGGTACTTGGAGGTGGTCACCGGCTTGACGTAGCGGTACCGGGGATTAAGGCCGCGGAGAAGGTTGAGAGCCTAACTCGGCTCGGAGACAGGGTGGCCGATGTCGCGGAGCTAATCGGCGAGCCGATTCAACTTGGTGCAGTAGTCGTTCATCGACATGTCACCTTGCTACATGGAACGCAGCTCGGCCTCCAGGTACATGGCGCGCTGCAGCTCATTGTCCTGGAAAAGCCCCTCAACGGCGTGCCACAGAGAGAAGGTGTCGTGGCGATCGTGGCAAACAATGTCGAAGACGCCCTTGGAGACGGTAGTGAGGATCCAATTGACGACGCATGAGTCCACCATGCGCCACTCACCATCACGCTCGTCGGACAGGGTGGTAGAACGAACGTGGCCCTCGAGGCCAAACTTGCCGAGGGTCGAGTCAAAGAAGAGGCGCCACTGGCCGTAGTTCCCCTCGTCCATGTCGAGGATGACTGGAACATGGTGGCGGATGGAGATCCCCTGGATTTGAGAGCGGAGGCGGGAGCGACGGAGAACCCGTCGGAGGAGGAGTCAGAGTGGTTGGAAGAGGGCGCCATTGGTGCGGAAGAAGTGGCGAAGGGATTCTGAAGAAGAACCTTGGACGATGATACCATGTAGAAGGGAAAGCACAGAAGGAAATATGATCCAACCCACACCATGTATTGATCTCAAGTGTTACATATATAGAGATTACAACGGTGGCCTTCGGGCCATGCCTATACACGGAGTGCGGGCGAGCGCGCTGAGCGGATCACAGATGCCGCGGTGACCGCGTCCTACAGTGGCGTGGGTGCGATGGGTGCTATAGACGTTACAAGCCCTGGAGACTCGGGCAGCTCTAACCGTTGGAGACCTGATTCCGCTGACAAAAGGGAGGCCAAGGAGTGGGGTTAGTCGAGTACCCTTGGTTCCCAGTACGGGAGGAAGCAGACGAAATCGTAGACAGAGACAGGGGAGATCGATCAGGAGGCCGAGGTTGTTGACGCCCACAAACACCAGCAGCCCTGTCATCGGTGCGACAACGGCGGATTGAAGAGTAGGAGTAGGGGCGGGGCAGGACAAGGCAGGGCAGGGTGGCGGCACGGCCGGTCTGCCATATCCTGTTTCGGCTTGTAGGAGTTATTGTCAAGCACATTGAGAAAAGAGATCTCTTTTGGCTGTACTCAATAGTAAAGGAAATTTGGTAGAAAATGTGAGCTTCAGTGGATTCCTTTCCGATCTCTTTTTCTTATTTTGTTTTTCTCAATCTCTTAGTAAAATCTTATCTCAATCCCTCGAAAGAAAGGGAGCAAGCACTAAATTTTCTATATCCCATTTCCTCTTCTTCCCATCACTGATATCGCCACAGCTCCAGACGGGTGTGCGCCGTTAGGGTGTCGCGTCGAGCGAGCGCATGGACGGGCCTCGGGCCACACCTCCGTCGCACCAGGCGAGCAGGCGGGTTGGCCGTGCCGCCGTAATGCTGGGGAGCCCCGTGAGAGAGGAGGGAGAGAGAGGAGAGAGGAAAGAGAAAAGAGAAGCATGTTATTGCCTTGCCGGGTCATGCCATATACCTTTGATATGACTAGTGCAAGTGTCCCACACACACCACCCTAAGGGTGGACTCGGTCAATAAACTTTGCAAAAGAGTCCCTCGCTCATTTCACCATCCAAATGTTTGCACTTACTGACAAACTCAAAACTTCTTCTAAATTGGATTGCAATAAAAATCGATGAAGGTCAAAATGCATGTTAACTCCCTGATTTGGATCAGGATTGTCAATTTTTTTCTAGGGACCAAAGAGTGACGTGTGCAGGGGAGGACTGAGGACGCGACGTGTGCGATCGAAGAGTCCTTTTTTTTAATATGCATGAGAACTCCGTATATATCTTTGTCTTTATATTAAATATTAATGGAGGAAGCAAGTGCTGCGAACTGAGCAATGGCTCCGTTGGTCAGGTTCTAGGGTGGTGGAACCTGTCGATCAAGATTCAAGTCTTGATTTATTGGCCCGGATGTCATTTTTTCCTGAATTTAGTTTAGAATTTAATAGGCGACGTGCCCATTCACAACAAGGCGTGCATAGTGTGAGTGTACACTCGTGTATTTAAGTGTCTGCATACATTACAAACTGACTGTGAAATTGAAGAGCGACAAAACCAAGTACTCCCTCCATTCCAAATTATAAATCATTTTATCTTTGTTGGAGAGTCAAAGCATCCCAAGTTGGAATGACTTATAAATTGAGACGGAGGAGTAACTCTCAGAGCAGCAGCAACACTTGTCATTGTATATGAGTGTCTGCGCGTATTACAAAATGACGAAATTGAAGACCGACAAAACCACAAAACCAAGTAACTCAGAGCAACAACAACACTTGTCATGGTATATGGTATATATATCACAGATTAGCTTGGACAAGGGTAACATGTTGTACCTACAACATTTTGGTAATATATATAATAATCGCTGCTCGGGTTCACGTAGATCGCGTCCCTGACGCACGCCCGCTTGACGCCGACGACGAACTTGTCCATCCACTGCGCCAGCGCGTCCAGGTCCTGCGGGGCGATCCCGTCGTCGCCGGCGGCCTCGAGGCTCCTGAGCTTGGCGACCCCCGGCGTCACGGACGGCCTCCTCGCCCACGGCGATGCAGGGCGCCATCTCGTACTGGGCACCCGCCGGGTCGGTGGCCTTGAACTTGCGCAGCTCGGCGGAGGCCGCGCCCAGGTCCTTGACCATGCGGCTGATGGCCGCGCCGACGACCTTGACGTGGCTGCCCTTGAAGCTCTCCCGCCCCTCGACTAGCGCGTCGTAGCAGTAGGCCACGTGCACGCGGTCCACGACGGTGGTGTTGCAGATGGACTGCACGAACTGCATCGATCAAGGAGAAGCAGTAGCCGATCCGGGCCGGTTCTTGTGAACAAATTCTCGTTCGGGAGATGCCAAATGGCCAATGGAACCACGCTAGCCCAGCCACTAGTGTGTGTGTTTTTTTTAGCCCAGCCACCAGTTGGCACTGATTAATTAATACGGTGCTGATAGACTGTACAGTACATGCATGTTCCAATATGCAGATCCCATGTATTTTCAAGAGGGTTGTATTATCTCAATTGTAGTGACTGTCTTGATAATTTTATTAAAACTAACCTTTCCATTGAGTTGTACTAAACGAAAAGAAAAGACAGCATGATTTGCGTCATGAAGCAAAACATACGCTGATTGAATCCTACAGTACATCTTGACAATGACAGCCGTATTCAGGTCAGGCTCCCTTCGGCGGAAGCTGATGTGGATGTTGGGAGCGGGCTCAATTGTTGTACAAGTCAAACAATTCTGTCAGATTGGAATTTGGAAGGGCGCTATATATTCACTACCACTGGTGTAAATTCTCCTGCATCACTGGTAAAAATATTATCCAGATTTCAAGAAAATGATTATACTTCACCAGGTGTTACATGTTAACATATGCAAAATCGTGCACACATATCCTGTCGCAGTAACAAATAACATACGAGTATATATATACCAGCTCATGCCTGATACCCAACTATGAAACTATCATTCTCAACATATATAGGAGTATATACCAGCTCATGCCTGATACCGAACTGTCATTCTATTCTGAGGTTAATCAAGCAAATGAAAGGCCGAGCATATGAGAGGCCAGATGCAAAAACTTCCTGCTCTCATGCTACGTTGGTTATCCTCTACGTGGACTCTTCTAACTCCTCTCCAAATCGATCAAGTCTTGACACCTCCGCATCATAATCACGGATAAGAGAGTGGTTAATGGAACCATCATCTTCGCTTGCATGGATTTGCCGCCCACCAAACCTGCAAGGCCAAGAAAAGGACAACAAATGTCAGTTTCTCGGCATTCGTTTATATAATAATAATCTTCTGCGCTTTGACAGGCAAACATGCACAATTCCAAGAGTTACCATCAGATTTTTAGTTAGATACTTAGATGACAAATTTTTCTCCAATATTTCAGGCTAAAATCAATGAGGAAATGATAAATTAAAGGTTTCTGAGGGAAACAAACAGGAGGTGAAAGCCAGAAAACCCATTTCAGCATTTGTTAACATCACATCAGACATGTGTTGACCAACCATCTTCCATTCATCTTCTCTATGCATTTGGCGCCATCTTTCCGGTCTTTGAATTTCACCAGTATGACACCCTGTGGGTGATTTTCACAGACCTGCAAGCACAATCACATGAATTTAGCAAAAGCAGTTTGGTGAAGGATAAAATAAGAACAATTTGGTGAGTTATGCCTGATCCATGCCAGTTTGGCTTTAGAGAATTTCTTTTTACAAAATGTACGTATCCAGCTCACAGTATATTGAAAGATGAAAAGTTTGTTTTGCAACAAAGCAATTGGTAGAATTTGTTTCTAGACAAGTTCAGAAAAGCAACATATCTGTGGCTAGGTGTACCTTGACATTATCCACTGGACCAAACTTGGCACATTCCTCTCTAACATCTACCTCAAGCTCAGAAAGAAGGTCTTCATCAGCCTGCAAGGTCAGAATATTCATGGTTAATCTAATAAAAATGAAAAGAAAGTTGCTATGAAGCATGAGCCTCATGAGAGCAATCTGAAATAATCTAATGTGTAAACAAGTACAAGTATGCCCTGTCTCTAGGATCAAAAGAGCGCAGATTGAAGGCGGCATCAAGCATAGTTCAGCTACTTACTCTCAACTCAGCAGGAGTGAACATGTGCCGTAAAATTACTGTAGTAGGAATCATCACCTTCTTATCGTCATGTCCACCTAGTTTGAAAATTTATCAAGAAAGCAAATGAAGTTAGATCCCAAGTTAGAGTTACCTAATGATTAAAATAACTACCAAATAACAGCAATCAAAATTACCCCATCCAAGCATTTTGTCTTCAACCTTTCTGATCTTCCTTTTCTTTTGCTTGTCAGTTTTCTTTGCAATGAAAACATCACCTGAAACACATATGCAGCATCAGTAATAAACTTTGCAGCTGATGGAAGAGTATTTGGTTTTAGAACAATTATGAGATTATACCTTTCTGCTGAAATCTGGCTGGACTTATAGACATCAGAGTCTTACCACCAGGACGGAATGATGTCCCATCCAACAATTGAACTGCTAAAGCTACAGAAGGCTCCTGGATCATCCGGGGGGAAAAAAGACATGTGAAGAAAAGAAACGCATAATAAGTCCAAATAGTCTGAGCAATTTAACAAGGAGATACCTTGAAATATGTCACCAAGGCATCACCCTTTTTCCTCCCAGTTTCCTTGTCAATATAGATCTTCACCCGAGGCTTTTTAGTCTCCGGGTCCTGTGGTACAGTTTATCAACATTTAAAAGCGCATGCTTTTAAAACATATTATTGATAAGAGAAACAAGTCAACAACGATAGCTATTCAAAATAAGATATCGAGTAAATATTGTAATATAACTCCGCCTATGTTGTCTCAACATAGCAGGTCCCAAGCCCTGGTAAAGAAGGAGGGTTGTGATAGGCGTGGCGAGCCAACGTTAAATCTAACCATTCTAATGGAGATGAAACCCGAAATAAAACCGTTGGGGCGTAACCCTCTTAGCGACGCGCCATATAGGAACCCGGGTATAGTGTTAAATGGGCAAGGACCGGGTCGGCATCCCCTTGGTGACGCGCCGTGTCGCGATCTGGGCATGGTGTCAAGTGAGCAAGGATCGGGTCGTCGCTTCCTTAGTGGCGCGCTACATCGGCGCCCGGATGTAGTGAAAAATGAGCAAGGGTCTTCACATTTGAGTCGACGGGTGCGAAGGGTAAGGAAGCTAGTCGAACCAACTAGGATCCGTTTAGGTAGTTGAAATGTAGGGTCGCTTACAGGTAAGTTAAGAGAATTAGTTGATACAGCGAATAGAAGGCGTGTAAATATATTATGCGTTCAAGAGACTAAATGGAAGGGTCAGAAGGCGAAGGAGGTGGACAATACATGTTTTAAACTTTTGTACACAGGGACAGTCGTGAATAGAAATGGAGTAGGAGTTTTGATTGATAAGAGCCTCAAGAATGGTGTGGTGGGAGTGAGAAAGCAAAGAGATAGGATTATCTTAGTCAAGCTTGTCGTTGGTGATATGGTCTTGAACGTAATTAGTGTGTATGCCCCCCAAGTAGGCCTCGACGAGAGTGCTAAGAGACAGTTCTGGGAAGACTCAGATGGCCTGATTAGAGCTATACCTAGTAGTGAGAAGTTTTTTATAGGAGGAGATCTTAATGGATATGTAGGTACTACAAGCGCAGGTATCGAGACAGTTCATGGAGGTTTTAGGTATGGTAGTAGGAATCAGGAGGGGGAGGAAGTTCTGTACTTCGCGGTAGCTTTTGACCTGATGATAGCCAACACTTTCTTTAGAAAGAGAGAATCTCATCTAGTGACCTTCAGTAGCGGACAACACTCTAGCCAGATTGACTTTGTCCTCGCAAGAAGAAAGAACAAACGAGCATGCTTGGGTTGTATGGTGATACCAGGGGAGTGTGTTGTTTCTCAACATAAGCTTTTGGTGGCAGACTTTCGTTTTCATGTGCGCGCCCGTAGAGATAAACAAGCTAAGATTGAAAGAACAAAATGGTGGAAATTGAAAGGGAAGACGTCAGAGGTATTCACGGAAAAGGTTATCAAAGAAGGCTCTTGGAAGGAAGAAGAGGACATAAACAACATGTGGAAGAAGATGGCAACCAACATTCGGAAGGTGGCCTTAGAGGTGTGTGGAGTAACCAAAGGAAATGGAGGCGAGGCTAAAGATATTTAGTGGTGGAACGAGAAAGTTCAAAGGGCTATTAAGGAGAAGAAAGAATGCTATAGACGCTTGTACCATGACAGGAGTGTGGACAACATAGAGAAGTACAAGGTGACAAAGAAGACTGCAAAGCGAGCTGTAAGTGTGACAAAGGGTAGAACGTACGAGGATCTTTACTAACATTTGAGTATAAAGGAAAGAGAGAATGACATTTATAGGATGGCTAGGGTTCGTGAGAGAAAGACAAGGGACTTTAACCAAGTTAAGTGCATTAAGGATGAAAGGGAGCATCTCTTGGTGAAGGAGGATGAGATCTGACATTGATGGCAAGAGTATTTTGATAAATTGTTCAATAGTGAGAATACGGACACAACATTTCAGTTGGATGACTCTTTTATTGACACCAATAGGCGCTTTGTGCGGAGAATCCAAGAATCTGAGGTCAGAGATGTGTTGAAAAGGATAAAAGGAGGTAAGGCGATAGGACCGGATGGTATCCCAATCGAGGTGTGAAGATGCCTCGGGGACATAGCTATAGTATGGATAACCATGCTGTTCAACCATATTTTTCGATCGAACAAGATGCCTGACGAGTGCAGGAGAAGTATTTTGGTACCGATCTACAAGAATAAAACGGATATTCAAAGTTGTATTAATTATCGGGGAATTAAGTTGATGAGTCATACTATGAAGCTATGGGAGAGAGTTATCGAGCATCGCTTGAGAGCAATAACGCGGGTCTTTATGAACCAATTTGGTTTCATGCCCGGAAGGTCAACCATGGAAGCCATTTTCTTAATAAGACAAGTTATGGAGCGGTATAGGGAGAAGAAGAAGGACCTACACATAGTTTTTATTGACTTGGAGAAGGCTTATGATAAAATACCAAGGAATGTTATGTGGTGGGCTTTGGATAAACATAAAGTCCCAACAAAGTACGTCGGGCTCATTAAGGACATGTACAACAATGCTGTGACTAGTGTTCGAATAAGTGATGGAGACACGGATGACTTCCCGATTAGGATATGACTACATCAAGGGTCAACTTTGAGCTCTTATCTGTTTGCCTTAGTGATGGATGAGGTCACAAGGGACATATAAGGGGACATCCCTTAGTGTATGTTTTTCGCGGACGATGTAGTGCTAGTTGATGAAAGCCGGACAGGAGTGAATCAGAAACTGAAGTTATAGCGGGAGACTTTGGAGTCCAAAGGTTTTAGACTCAGTACAACTAAAACTGAGTATATAAGATGTGACCTTGGCACTACTACTCGGAAGGAGGAAGATATTAGTTTGGAAGGTTAAGTAGTGCCTAGGAAAGATATCTTTCGATATTTAGGATCAATGCTACAGAGAGACGGGGATATTGATGAAGATGTTAGCCATAGAATCAAAGTAGGGTGGAAGAAGTGGCACCAAGCATCTGGTGTCCTATGTGACAAAAAGGTACCACAGAAGCTAAAATGCAAGTTTTATAGGACGACGATTACACCTGCTATGTTGTATGGTGCAGAATGTTGACTTACGAAAAGACAACATGTTCAACAGATAAGTGTCGCGGAAATGCGTATGTTGCGTTGGATTTGCGGTCATACAAGAAGAGATCGAGTTCGGAACGATGATATACGTGATAGATTAGGGGTAGCACCAATTGAAGAAAAGCTTGTCCAACACCGGTTGAGATTGTTTGGACATGTCCAACGGAGACCTCCAGAGGCACCGGTACGTAATGGAATCCTAAGCCAGGATAGTAACGTGAAGAGAGGTAGAGTAAGACCGAAGTTGACTTGGGTAGAGGCAATAAAATGAGACTTGAAAGGATGGAATATACCCAAAGACTTAGCCTTAGAATAGGAGTGCTTGGAAAACAGCTATTCACGTGCCTGAACCTTGATTGCTTCTGCTGGGTTTCAACTCTAGCTTACCCCAACTTGTGTGGGACTTAAAGGCTTTGTTGTTGTTGTTGTTGTTGTTGTTGTTGTTGAGTAAATATTGTAATATCTTTTCAGTTTACTTAAGCAACCAATAGTATTTGATTAATTAATATTAGCCATCTAAGATAACCAATGGGCGTCTGTGACAATATCTAGTATCATAATGCATGCTGTAAGTTTGGACAGCTGAAATTTGCTAAATGATCTATTCAACAGTGAAATACACAAATTCTGGGTTATAGTTTGCAATAATTAACAGCCTTGACATGAATAATTGAAGGCCCCAATATCCCATGACTCTGATAAGTCAAATTACAAAGTTCTTTTAACAGTATGCCGATTAGTTACTTTCACAGATGGTGGCTATATATTAGTCCAAGCACCAATAAAACTAAGTCATTTCACAGGTGTGACGTGTGAAAAATGAAAATAACACCAAGAATAAATAACAGACAGTCAGACACAACAAGTTTGTCTCAGCAACACAACAGACTAAAAGCATACCTCCTTTATTATTCCACACTTGGAAAATACCTCCACAATCTGCAAAAGGAATCCAGTATTAGAAGTTCAGAGCAAGCAATTTTTTTTTAAAATAACCAACTAATTAAGAATGTGTTAAATGATGATTCAAAAGAATGACTTCCATAGGTGATAGGAGAGAAATAAAATGAGGCTACCAAATTAGTTGATACAAGCAATTTACCTCCTCTACTGTGACATCATCAGGCAAACCAGTTACATAGACATGTGTGTTGACTTTGAGATCAAACCAACTGTCTGGAGGTTTGTTAGCTTCCTATCAAAGAAGTTCAACAGGTTACTAGAAGATTCAAACTAAACAGTGCAAACTTAAGAAGAAATCCTAGAATGACATGGAAAATGGAAACAATACTTTTTTTTCAGCTGGCTTCTCAGAAGATTTCCGTTTCTTTTCTCCTTTCTTTTCTGCTTTATCAGATTCTTTGTTTTTGCTTTCCACTGGAATGTTGATTTCTTTTAATGCAGATGGGTCAGGGATATCTGGTGCCTGAAATACTTCTTCCTCAAGTGCAAATGTCATCTCTTCAACAGCATAACCGTCCTTTTTACCTGATACATCATTCTATAAAAGCATAGAAGAATTAGATAATTGCAAAAAAAAATGATGGGGGAATACTAAACAATATGAAGGTGGTACAGTTTCTCCTCAAAAGAACAACACCAGAACATGAAACATAATGAAAAACTCTGTGTATATAGCATTATTATTCCCGACATAACCAATACAAAAATTAAGGAATTCTAAATCCATTAGCAAGTAAACTGCGATTTATACTGGTATTTGCTGGAACAGAGCATAGTTGCTTTTGTCTTGTATTGAAACTTCAAAACAACATGAAAACTAACACAAGCATTGATGTTTTCAATCATCAGCAAACCACAAGAAGGACTATGGTGAAGAGCAAGAAACTAAAAAGAAGAGGTCAACCTTTATGAATTAATGGCTTAGTATCATATAGGCTGTTTCAGAAACAGAGCTTAAAATCTTCCACCAACATAGGTAGTTTTGGCAGCAAGTATGAACAAGATCAATTGAACAGTAAAGATCAATACAGGGCTCAGATCAATTAAACTCCTTCCAAATCTTACGTGAGTGAGAAGACTATAGGTGCCCCAGGAATGTATTCCCAAACTAGTAAAATCCTTGAAATGATAAATAGTTCCACAAGAGCTTCTGAGTCTAGTAGGTGGTGGGTGATAATTTCCACTGCTCCATTGTACTAAGAAATGACGGATAAGTTGTACAATTGATATATGCCACATCCAATACAAGTTTCTATCAGATGGTCTATGCTGATTATTCATAAAGAAAGTACAGAACACCTAAGGCTCTAAATTCAGGAGACTATTTCAATGGTGGAAAGTCAAGAAATTCACTGGTGGAACTAGGCAGTGTATGTAAACCTAGAGATGGCAAGGACAGACGAGCAGAACTTACTTGAGGAACCCATGCCCTCAGAGTACGGTCCCACTTGTAAATGGTGCCATCATCGTCAGTAAATTCCTCCTCTCCATCCGGTGGGGTTGCTGGCTGCTCATCATCCTGCGGGCCCACATCACCATCTTCAGCGCTGCCTTTCACTTCCTTCTCGGCCTCGGTAACCTCCTTTTGGAATTTCGCGAAATCATCATCGACATCCGGAGCAGCAGCTGCACAGAAACCCAATGGTTGAGAAGGGAGCCTTACAGAAATTCCGTTGCAGGCACAGCGCAGGGCAATGGCATTAACCTTGTCCAGATTGATCCTTTGCTGCTGTGACTATAGAATGTAACTCAGGGATCGACGAGAGCGGCATCCATTCCTTCCTCCCTTGTGCCCACAGCATTGTGCCCTCGTTGAGGTAAGCGTTTGAAAAATGCTCTGCGAAGGGAGCAAAATTATGCTTCGTGTTCAGAGTTATTTGGGGCAAACATATAAACCATAGAATCAAAATTCTACAAGTTGAAAGGCGTGAAACCGAAACCTTCTGGGCGAGATTATCTACCCAACGACTCAACTTAAGAGATTCTGAATGAATAAAATAAGCAAGAGGCTTGCTTCACCATCAGGGAAGGCAAGCAATTCCGCCTAGCTCACGGACTCAACCCTAAGCGGCAAGGCCCGACCCCAGCAAGAACGCAAGCTCTAGCCGTGAAACGCACTGGACTCATAGGAGAAGGCGGGAGAGGGTCACCTCGCAGCTCCACAAGCGCGTAGGGGCCAACGCCCTGCTGGTCCGGACCGAGCACGTACCAGCCCACCTCGCCGGCGGCGGCCGCGCCGCTAGTCTCCATCTCCACGGGCACCTCTCCAAAGCCGGGACAGAAGGGGAAGCGGGTGGGTACTGGGGGGTGGACGAGGACGCTATTTCGTGGGAAACGGGTGGCCGGCGGCGGGGAGGGATGGCGGAGGCGAGGCGGCGGCTGGCCGGAGAGGCGGCAGGGGTCCGTCAAGTCAAGCGGAAGCGGAACGACCGGTGGACGGGGAAGACTCGAGAATAGAAGAGAGCCACGTGTCGTATCTGGACGGCTGAGATCGGCCCCAACACCCGCGATCCAACGGTGGTGAGATTTCTGGGCTTCATTATCTGCCTTGACAAATTAGCAGCCCACAGGCACGCTGCTAGTGTTCGGGTTCGTCTGTGGTTCCGAATTCCGATTTTGCTGTGAGCGTATTAAGCCCCGTTTGGACTTTGGAGTAGAAGAAACCCGTCTCTTATATTGGGTCTGCTTATAGCTCAAAATAATTTTAAAATCTAAAGTCAAATAGTACGTTTCGTAAGCTTTTTCTGGCCATCTATTTGTACTAAATGCAAAAAAAAAATTGTGCAGACTCTCGTGAAGCGCTTCTCTCCATAGTTGTACCAAACAAGACCACTATCTGTGTTTTGTTTGATTATCAGATCTTGACAATTATTAGCATCTATCTTGTTTGGAATCGATCAATTTGGCATTCTACGACATTTTTTTATCAGATTCTTGAAGTCCATTGAGATCCTAACGCGGGCAGCATTTGAAGGAATTCTTCTCGAATCCATTGACACTTTTCTAGTGTGTTTTTTTTCACTTCTCCTGTTTTTTAGTTGCTTGATTTTGTTGTTGTTGTTCAGTTAACATGTAATTTTATGAATTGTCCTTTTAATTTAGGACCAGACAAAAAAGCTCGTTGAGCTGGCTGGGCGGCTCCTTCTAAAAGTGCTCTGAATGACTTGTTTTCCTTTTAAAATAAGAAAGACTTGATTTTGAATAACTTTCGACTTCGGCTCGTTAAGTTTGGTTTGAAGTTTGGTCTTAACGATTCAGAAAAAATATATGACAAATAAGATTATGTTAATTGCGAAGAGAGCTAAAAAAAGGAGATGAAGTTGGCTCATTTTCCACCCCCTATTTTAATTGCGCAAGTGGGATGTTTTACACTGTTGCATGAAAATTAAGATGCCTAAAATATAGCATTTTTTTGTTATTTTTTATATGCATGCATGGCCAGAGATTCCTAAACACAAGACGAAAAATGGAGACCGATAAACAAGGCTGGACATCTTGGCAAGGCATAGATTTTCATACTGAAAAAATGAGGTATGTGATCGAAGAGATGGCATATTGCTAGCTGCGCTCAGTACGTACTACGTGAGGAACTCAGGATGGAGAAGATTCTACTCCTTGGCAAACACATACAAAGCGGCACTGTTCCTTGAGGTACGGTAAGACATAGAGTAGAGTAGAGTAGAGCAGACAGCAGACTGAAAAATGAAAACATCATAGGCCTTGTTTATTTCCTCTGCCTAAAGTTTAGGTCTTATCCCATCGAATAATTGGACATATATATGGAGTATTAAATATAAACTAAAAAAATAATTAATTGTACAGTTTGTGACTAATTTGAGAGACGGATCTTTAAAGCCTAATTAGTTCATGATTTGACAATGTGATGCTACAGTAACACATGTGCTAATGACGGATTAATTAGGCTTAATAAATTCGTTTCGTGGATTACTGACGGATTCTGTAATTTGCTTGGTCTGATAAAAGGCAAAAAAACACATACTTCTTCTGATAAAAGGCTCATTAAGTTTGCTTGTTTTTTTTTCGTTCCTATCGTCTAATAAAACTTGTGGCAAAACTTTTGCCATCCTTTCTTAAAAAAAAGTTTGCTTGAGATGTGCATGATATCTGTCTGTCCTTTTCAGGTGTCTTTGTGCTGATGATTGTGATAGATTTCTTGGATCATCTCGGCGTAGATCAGTGGGTAAAACTCAACTTAGACAAATGAACTTGCTGATGTACCTCACCAAGCAGCGTCGCGGCCATGGCGCCGCAGCGACGTGGCCTCAAGTGTCGGAGTAGAGATAGCTTAACACGCCCGCTAGGGTGTCGAAGGTGGCAGCAGTGCAGGCGCGATCCAGTGGCGGCGATGAAGGTGGTGGAGCTTCCCTTCACTCACAGCACGCCCTCTAGACCAAACTAGGGTTAGGAACTTCGGTGGGGTGTTGGCGGCTGCGATGAACCTCGTGTCTTGCGCCCTGGCCCCCACTTTCCTCTTTATAGCGCTACGCGACGGGGGGCCATCAGCCAGGAGAACGGCTAGGCGCTCCCGATCAGGGCGCGGATCAAGGACCCAATTAACCGTTGGGTCAACTGGTGGAGATCAATCTAACAGATTGTTGTACCAGTTGTTGCTACTGAGAGGGCCAGTGCAAAGTACGTTTTCACCCATTTCAACACGGACAACAGTGCCGGAATCCACATCAACCTCTACATCTTCGTTCTGGGGCTCCTTATGAGCCGATACACGCTGTCAGGATACGACGCGTCTGCACACATGGTAACAGAAAGAAAATCCTGCTAGCTAGTGTCATGGAAACTAATTACTACGGTAATTAAGTAGCACTGTCCTAACAATGAGTGTGCTTTGGCTCTATGATGCAGACCGAAGAGACAAAAAACGAAGGCAGGAACGGCCCGATCGGAATAATCAGTGCGATCGGTATATCGTTGGTAGTAGGCTGGGGGTACATACTTGGCATCACGTTTGCAGTGAAGGACATCCCCTTCCTCCTGAGCCCCGACAACGATGCGGGAGGCTACGCGATCGCTCAGGTGTTCTACCTTGCCTTCAAAAGCCGGTACGGGAACGGTGCTGGAGGAATAGTCTGTTTGTGGATCGTCGCCGTCGCCATATACTTCTGTGGCATGAGCTCAATGACTAGCAACTCAAGGTGACCCATACTCTGCTTAACTTGTCATTGAGATTTCTGAACTCTGAAGTCTGAAGAACTCCCTCCAGAGTGGAGCAACTACGATTACCATTGATTTATGGCCGCGTTCTTTTGATTAGGATGATTTATGCGTTCTCGAGAGATGGGGCAATGCCGTTTTCATCCATCTGGCACAGAGTTAACAAGCAAGAAGTGCCGATAAAAGCCGTCTGGCTCTCAGCTTTCATTTCCCTTTGCATGGCATTGCCGGTAACTTAACTGAATCATTCATTCTACTGCTATCCTTCAGATTCTGAAATGGGCTTTCAGTTTACACCATTTGCAGTGCATGAGGATTCACCCTGTTTGTTTTCCAACCATCCAAATGCAGTCTCTGGGCAGCCTGGTCGCGTTCCAGGCGATGGCATCTGTCGCGACGACCGCGGTCTACATTGCCTACGCGCTGCCGATCCTCTTCCGCGTGACGCTGGCGCACAACCGTTTCGTGCCTGGACCCTTCAGCTTCGGGCGGTACGGCGTGCTGGTGGGCTGGATCGCGGTGCTCTGGGTTGCAACCATCACCCTTGCTCTTCTCGCTGCCGGTCTCGTACCCGGTGACCAAGAACACCCTCAACTACACTCCGGTCGCCGTCGGTGGGCTGTTCACCCTGATCTTGTCGTCGTGGATCGTCAGCGCAAGGCGCTGGTTCACGGGTCCCGTCACAAATTTGGCAGGATAGGGTGGTTTTTCAGTGTGGAATGCTATGGGACGTTGAGGAGGTGTCAGGTGGTATAGTGACTGCTGCTAATTGTTAGGAGTGCTACTAAATACTAATGTTTTTTTTTGCCATTCACCTGTTTTTCGTTAAGAGGAAAATAGCTAACAGTACACCCGTGCGCGAGCACGCAGGCGAGTAGCCTTCGTGACACGACGCACACCTTACCACCTAGCTACGGGATTCACTTAGAAAATATTACATAGAAAAGGTGTTTTGCGACTAAATCAGCAAAACAATAGCGAGCGTCTAGGCCCGCTGGTTCCTGCCCGGGGAAGAGGACCTGCATGGCTTCCCGCGTCGACGTCGACGGGGGAGGGTGAAGGCGGCCTGGAATTTCTCAAAGGAGGCTTCGTCAGGTAGCTCAGTCTCCACCTCGAGCCCCAGATGTTTCATCATCACCTTCTGCGCATGAGCCTCCGCCTTTTGTTCCCTGTGCCTGCTCTTGGCAGCAAGCCTAGCGATCCTCTTGGGGACGAGCTTCGAGTCGTCCAGCTCCCCCGCCCGTGCTCTGGCCGCCCGGATTAGCCGCAATCGTGGAGGCGAAGACAAGACAGGCATCGTGAGTGGCTTCTTGAATGTAGCGATGAAGTCCTCAGTCGACGTTGCGGCCGTCGCGTCAGGCGCTCTGCCATCAACGGCCGGTGTGGCTGGGCCGTCTCCGCCTACACCTTCCTGGTTGGTGGGGAAGTCGACCTGGACCGGAGGTGGGGATCCCCCAGCATGTTTCGGCTCCAACACTGAGGGCCTTGGTGAGGTTTGGCCCGAGCCGCACTCGTCTGGGCCTGAAAGGCACAGGTCTACCGCCTAGGCCACCTCTGATACGGCCTGGCTCATGAGACCTGCCTGCACCTCAACCAGCATGGGATCGAAGTCCCAACGCTGAACCTCCAAGCAACGGTCCACTGCGAGCTCGGGCTCAGGGTGCACCGTTTGTAGCTGCATTACGCCTCCCTAGATAGCAACGCGTGCAAAGGGGCCCCCGAGCCAAGCACGGACCCCGCCACGCCCACAGACACACGGAACCTCGAGGAAAGGTGTGCCCGAAACTCCTCCGACGTGACGGCTGGTTAGTCTCCACCAACGAGTGCGAGGAGAAAAAGGGAGAGGTCCACTCTAGACGCGTGCGAGCTCCACGTTCCTCTGGACGACGAAGACCTCGACCTTGGGACGGTTATCAACGTCACCCAGAGGTGGTGATACCGGCAGGCTGCTATTGTGGTGCTGCTGTGGCAACGATGGCGGCACGGTCGACTGCTGCACGACAAGACGACAACGACGTTGTCGACGTCTGACCTGGCGCAACGCAACATTTCGGCGACAAGCTGGGTTGCCTCGGACTAGCAGGGCGACGTTCCTTAAAGGCACTCCGGCTGGGGCGACGCGCCACCAAGGATGAAGGCTTGCACGCGGGCGAACGACCATGCTTGCACGCTCTGGCCCGATGGTCGATATCCCGGCAACGTAGATAGCGGGACAGGGAGCGACACTGAGCGGCGATGTGGTCGTGCGTGAGGTAGTTGAAGCAGAGACCCACAAGCTCCGGCGGGATGGGCGATGGCGTTTGGGTGCCATACTCCCCGGATAGCGCTGGTGACGACGACTTTCGACAATCTAGAATCCATCGGTGTCGACGTTGCGCCCTCGATGGGGTTGCCGAAACGTGACAGGCACGGGCGCCCTACGCCGCGGGCCAAGTCGCTGGTGCACCGGAACTCTCGCCGCTGGCTGCCAACCAAGGCGACGCTGCGCGGGCGCTCGAGCGGCGTTCAACGGCTGAGTCCCATAGTCGTTGGGCGCAGCGGTCCTGCGCCGATGACCCCGCTTCCCCCTTGCAGGCACCAGATGGGTTCCCTCCATTGTGCTCTGTGCCGCGTCTAGAGCCCCTGCCGGCGGTGGAGGCATGGCCTGGAGAGCCTTGCGAGCAGCGTCCAGGTACGACGGGCGCATGGTAGAAGAAGCGAGTTCGTCATCGAAGCTACCCGCACCGGGGTCTTCAGCCCAGAGCGACCATACCAGGCCTTCCCCATCACCATCAGTCACAAAAAAAAAAGTCCAACTGATGCATTCCACCTCCTTCACCAACCTGGCCTAGTTACGCTCTCAGCAGTCAGTCCTAGCGCCCACTGGCGCCACTCGCTCCTCCCCAGGCCGCCGCCTGCCTCGCCGGCCACCGCAGCGCTGCTAGGAGGATGGGATGGAAGGCGGCGGAGAAGCTCATCGAGCACCGGAAGATCCTCCGCGGCGACAATGTAACCTCTCTCGTGCTCCGCTCCATCCCCCACTTCAATTGCTCATGCAGTCCTGCTAGTCCTACTCTCTTCTCGTTGCAGGACCTCCCATTTCCCTCCTTTTGTGTGTTTATTACTGCCAGGTGATGATCATCAGAGGCAAGGACAAGGGGGGAGACGGGGGCTCCTAAAGCGTGTCATTTGGTCCCAGAATCGCGTCATTGTCGAGGGCAACTACTTTGTAATTTCATTGCTGCCCTTGTATCTTATTCCCCAGTTGACAGTTATTTAGCCTGAGTGTTCAGTGTAGCAGGTTACTGTTTGTGGCTACATAGGACTGGTACCAGCTGCATAATTGGCAGCTTTGTTTCTGCACACTGGCTGTATCGGTTTAATCGAGAATCAAACCTACCTTCTACTGACATCTTGATCTAGGTGCTAGTTGCCTAGTTCAAATTCCCAAACTATTGCAGCTGCACTACCGTTGCAAATGGTGTTAATTTTTCGGAGTCGACACTACTGTTGCAGCTGCACTCCTGGTTTTAGTCCTGTATTGTAAGTGATTAGATGATGCCCAGGCTTTATCCCAGTTGCCCTGCTTTCAGGCTGATCATACGAGTTTGACTAGTATATACTGAATGACAGGTATAGACCTTCTCCCTAAGATAGCAAATTAGGAAGACAGGGCATATTAATAGTGAATGAGATCTGAATAATCGTGTGCATCCTGTATCCATTGATGGATGTTGGCCTTCAGATTTACAAATTGACGCCAGCCTGCCATGTTAGATGGTGCGTGTTAGCATAATAAGCTCATAATCAATAGTTTTTTTTAAAGGCCACCGGGGGATGAACTATCCCCACCTGAATGCTATACATATTTTGTGACAACTGATTTCCCCATAGTCACTGCAGTTGCTTGTGTGAAAGAATCATTATTGCAATGTATGATGTCTTCCATTTATCCAAGTGTTCAGTTCATCAGAATTCATCTATTGTCTCAGAATGCACTGCCTTTTTCCCTGAGAAATGAAATGCAGTAATTTTAGGGTGCTTGATACATTGGCTCTGGGGATTTACCCTGTTTTTAGGTTTCAAATTTTTAAAAGTATAATACATGGGAGACATTGAAGTATCACCTTGGTTATTTGTTGACTGTTACTGACAGTTCGCAGACTAGAGAACTTGGCAACAGAAATATTTAGGTTTAGAGCTTGCCAATACATACATATATTATAAACAAATGCAACAAACAACCGGCAGTTCTTGTACTAGCTCAACACAGTTTGTTGTCATGTCATACATTAAGATTTGGCGGGAGAGTTCTTTCTTCCCCCAAAAAGTCAGCATACATAAGAGTTTATACAAGCGTTGCTACCTAGGCCATATTTAGATTGCAAAAAATTGCAACCTGATGAATAGTAGCGTTTTCGTCTTATTTGGTAAATATTGTCCAATTGTGGACCAACTAAGCTCAAAAGATTCATCTCGTGATTTCCAACTAAACTGTGCAATTAGTTATTTTTTTTACCTACATTTAATGCTCCATGCAAGCGGCTAAAAATTGATGTGATGGAGAGAGAGTGAAAAAACTTGGAATTTTGATGTAAACTAAACAAGGCCCTACTGCAACAACTCTACGTCGAATTCCAGTGCTGTAGTCACTGTCCCCTCCTCTGCTTCGGCTGTCAGTCTGTCACCACGGCGTCTTCAAATTTCCAATGCCTTGGCTAAATCGTCCCAGTCCTCTTTGTCTTCGTCTTGAAGCCCAGGCGTAGGAGCAGGGGGTGGCGGCGGATGAGGTGCTGCAGCCACTGTTTGCTCCTCCGCTTCATCTCTCAGCATGGTGGCTTCAAACGGATCAAGTATCCTCCTCTGCTTCGACTGGACGGGCACCTGCAGAGGCACGTGGCAGGCGCGTACCCCTGGGGGAGTCGGCAGCAACGGCACCTTCTGCGGTGGCGCTGGCAATGGCATTGGTGAGCGATGCGGCTGCATCGCAGGATGGATTGGAACTGGCGGCGCCAGAGGAGGAGCTGAAGCGGGCCATGGTTGCGTTGCCAAGCGAGTCGTCGAGCCGCGGCGAGGCGCACACGGTTGTGGTGTCGCGAAGGACATCTTCCGAACAGCGGCGAGGGGCGCCCGGGTAGGAGCTGGCGGCGCCGCAGGCGGAGCTGAAGCGGGCGATGGTTGTGTCGACAAGGGAGTCATCGAACCGCGGGGAGGCGCAAACGGCTGTGGTCGTGCGAAGGCCATCATCCGAACAGCGGCGAGGGGCGGTCGGGTCGTAGATGGCGACGCCGACCACCGAGCTGAAGACTGGGGTGATGGTTGTGTCGCTGATGGAGTCGTCGAACCGCGGCGAGGCGCAGATGGCTGTGGTGGCGCGAGGGGCATGTTCCGAACATCGGTGAGGGACGATAGGGTCAGAGCTGGCGGCGTCAGAGGTTGTTGTTGTGGTGGTGTCGGTAGCACAGCAGGACCGCGCATTCTCTTGGCGCACGGTGGCGACATGGCATCCTGCGGCGGCGCTGGCCTCTTGGGTGCTGCCGCTGGCGCTGGCTGCATGATGACGGCGGCGGACGCGGCAGGCGGTGGCGGTCGTAGCGTGAAGAAATAAGCCGCGGATTCCTGGTGCGCCGCGGATGTCGGGGCAGCTCTAGGAGACACGTACATCTTGCACAAGACGAACTGGCTCTCGCCGGCGACGGCGCCCTCCTCCTGATCCGAACAGCAGCAGCAGGAGTACTCGTCCATGAGCCAGTCCGTGTACACTCCGCCGCTCATCTTGTAGCGAAGCTTCTTGAGCTCGCCGACCTTGGCATCCCCGCGGCCCTTGATGTCCACCGTGTTCTGCGCGTGCCAGGAGCCGGCTCTGCTGGCTTGGGCGGCGCGTGTCCTGCTGGCGGCGCTGGGGGTGAAGAAGAAGCGGTCGCCGGTCCTGGGCAGAGGGCAGAAGTGGCGCGCGAGGTCGGCAGGCGCGCACGCGTACACGTCGGCGTGGTGGACGACGGGGCGGACGGCGTCGTGCAGCGGCTTTCCGGCGACGAGGCGCGGCAGGTAGTAGGTCACGGCTTCCTGCGGCGTCGGGAGGAAACGGAAGCCGCGGCTGAAGATCTCAGCGCCAAGGGCCAGCGCCATCTCCGAGGACCCGCAAAGGAAACGAATTTTTGAGGAACGAACAAGGATGGATGGAGAGCCGGTGGATTTATAGGCAGCGGCGAGTCGGTGACTGCATATTCACCGTGTTCTACTTCTGATCGGATTCACGAGGTAGGGTCGGATTCACCGTTCTGTTCCGATTATGATCTTACTTGGACCCACGTGCAGAGTCCTTTTGCTCCGTTCCCCTTTCCTCCATCTCAGTCTCACTGCCGTCGCCGCTGCTATCGTGGATCTCTGCAGCAAGGGTCGCTTCGTCGTCCGTGCACGCAGGGGCGGACCCACCATTACAGCGGGGTGGTGCGGCCGCCCGAGTTGGCCGGCGGCGTAGACCCCCGCCCCCCTCCCCCACCACCACTACCTTGAGCGCTCAGGCATGGCCGCCGACCCTCCGTGCGAAGGATGCTGGTATGCGGAGGTTGAAGAAGAGTAGAAGGCCAACGTCTCTTCCTTTTCAAGGTTTCCTTTTTAGCCTATACATCTTCACAGTTCTTCACGGCAGCCACATTGCCTTTTCGATTCCTCCCTAGTACCTGGTATATTCCTAAATCTTGTTTCCTGAATCACCATCGAAGTCTTGTTCTCTGCTATTATTGCTTGTTTTCCCAATAAATTCTCGTTTCAGATCTCGCTGCAACAAGGATTTTAAGCTGCTGCCATTCTGTTCGGTTTCCCCCATCTGTTCTATTGCTGACTTCCTCTCAATCTAGCTGCTAAATTATGTTAAGACCTAGTTTTATTGCACAGTATGTGTACAGCCATCCACATGATTTCTTGAGGCTACGGTGAGAAGAACTCTGCTTCGGTGCACAGGAGTCAGGACCTCCATCAACAGAGTGACTGACGCCCCGTTCGCTTGGGCTTGTTTGGCTAATTTACAGTTGAAATACTGAGTTGTGGTCAGCTGTTTACAGTTGAAATTAAAAGTGGTGCCAAGGAGATAGCCATTTGATCCCAATACAGTATCATATCTGTTTATGGTCGGTTGTAGCCTTGTAGGCAAGGGACTAGATTCCTACTTTTAGCATCCACTGAACTGTTTGGATCAAAAGTTTGCTCCTGAACTGAGAAACATTTTGTCCTTTATGCCTCTGATTTCACAGTTTGTGATAAAAATTCGATCTTGATTTGGGATTCACATATATCTTAAATTGACAATGCAAAATTCTTCTCTTACTTAGGATAACACCACTATATATATAGTGTTTTTAGATAACTGTTCTTGGTGGCTGCTAAGCATGTTTTCTAGTACATACTTGTTCCTGTTTGTGTGATTGTTTAGTCCTGCATTATTTGACGAAACAACACCATCATGTATTGCAGTTTTCAATTTTCTTCTTACTTGCTTGTTTTGTCAAACACGTAGTTGATTTTGGTCTTGTGCTGAAATGTAGTGCCCCTTGCTGTTTCTGAACTACTGAATGACTGGAAGCAGACATGTTCTTATATTGTTTAGTTCGTACAAGTCAGTTATCACGTTTTACTCTTATATCACACTGTAATGGGTGTATGTATGCTACCATCTAGTATTTAATGCCAATAATATCACCTTATATATTCATGCTCTGATTGCTTATGCAGATCATGCGACAAACGATGTTGTGAAAGAGGGGGTCTTGACATAGGTATGAGGTTTTGTAATGCTCATTGGCGTTACATTTCAGACTTTGTATCCATAAAGTACTTTCTCAGTTGCATAAAATTCAATAGGATTTTATCAAATCTGCAAGGCAAACGAATGATTGCAGAGTTTTTGTTGGCTGTGAATGTTTCTGTTGATGAGAAGATTTTTGAAGCACTTCACCTTATGTTCGGTACACATTGTTCAAATTTTTTTTACCTTGCCATATTCCATATCAGGTTGAAGTCGTGTACATCCAAAGATGCCAGTAAATTCCTGGAAAAGTCCTTGGAAATATCGATAACACTGTGTCCATTCAAACGAATAAAGTCAGTGAGGATCTAACATTTGCCAACTTCTTATCAGTGACCTTTCTTTTTTTTCAGCCCTATAAAGCTAGATGCAACCATACTATAGCCAATATGACAAGCTGGTCTAAACCTATGACTGTTTCCTTTTTCAGAACTCATGCTCATCGTCACAGTACGGTTCACCAATCAGACATTCTAAGTGCTTAATAAGTTCTTAGACAAATAGATCCACTCATCTTAGTGGTTACTAAGTTGCTATACAAAATTTGTTGTCCCACCCAAGCCCAAAATGTATTCATTTTGCTTCCAGCGGGGTTGGTTTGTTTCAGTTATGTTCAGAGTAAGGCATTCATATGCATATGTTTGCATTCTTCAGGGCCCCTTGTTGTCAGCGAAACAAATGTTGGTTTTCCTTGGTTACCTCTTTATCGAATGTCTCATTCCTAGCATATTTATTTTCTTTATTTTCCCTTGGTGTACATGTTGCACAAGGTGTAACCATCTACTCCAACTAAACCAGAACAGAGCAAGGCTCCCAGTGCCTCTGTGCAGATCATGGAGTAGAGACCAAATGTGAGCATTGCAGACTGTTGTATCTTTGCAGATCTTGTTATGCTGTTGTTGTATTTTTGCAATGTTGCCCATGGTTTCAGCACCGGCTTTTTGCAGATCTGGTGGGGCAAGTCGGATGAGCTAGATAGAGTCGGCATTCGGCAGGAGAGGGAGAGGGAGAGGAAGAGGAAGAGGAACCAATTCAATCCGATCCGCTCAAAGCGGGCCGGGGCGGCGGGGCGTCCGTGATGAGTTTCCGGCGGCGGTTCGTGTACCTGGTGATGAACAACACCCAGCAACGGGACTTCCCTCTGCGCCGCATCGACGCAGCCCGCCTCTTCTTCCCCAAGGGCGAGAGGCCCCCCGTCCCGCCGCCGCCGCCGGAGGACGCGCGCCTCCCGCCTCCCGCCATCAGATTCAGCGCGCCCACCCCCACCACCGGCACCGGCACCGGCACCGGCACCAGCACCAGCAAAGGCGCCATGGAGTTCATGCTCCTCCACGGCAGCAGCGGAGGCGGAGGCGGCGGCGGTTGGAGGAAGCGGCACAAGGTGGTGGCCACTGACCACACGGGCCGCTGCGTGATGTACGACCCGGCGCGGGGCACCGTCCGCGCCCTGCCCGAGCTCACCCCCGCGCCCAAGGTCAGGCCTGCCGCCCTCCCCGTCGGCGACGACGACCTCTACGTCATCGACACGCACTTCAACCGCGCCTTCAGCCGGGACGCCGCCTGCTTCCACGGCCTCCTCTTCGACCCTGACGCCGCCGACTGGGATTGGCGCCCGATGCCTCCGCCTCCGTACGCGCGCACCTACGACCCTGACAGCCAGCGAGTCCGCGCTCACATCACCTCCTACGCGGTGGCGGGCGGCGGCGGCGGCGCCAGTGTCTGGGTGTCCAAGGACGGTCTGGGCACCCACTCCTTCGACGTCGGGACCGGCGAGTGGGCCAAGGCCGGCGACTGGGTGCTGCCGTTCTGGGGCCCCGGCACGTACGTCCCGGAGCACAAGCTCTGGTTCGGCCTCTTGGCCGACAAGGTGGAGGACGGCGTCGTGTGCGCGTCAGACCTGACAGCAGCACCGCCCGCGGCGCCGCGCGTCCTGTGGAGGGAGGAGTCCCCGACGCCGCCGGAGTGGCAAGGCAGGTCGACCTTTCTCGTGCACCTTGGCTGCTCCAGGTTCTGCCTCGCCAGGTTCTTCAAGATCGTCCGCGGCGGCCCTGCAGGTGGCTCGCCATGCGTCAGCAGGTTTGCAGTCTTCAGTGGACTCGAGGTGGTGACTGGCGGCCATGGCGACGGGGAGGGGGAGGAGCTCCGCATGGTGAAGCACAGGTCTCTACGGTACAGCCTTGTCAACAAGCTGCTCCATTGGGTACTCTAGTCGCCTGCCATTGATGTCGATGAAGAGGACACAAAACCAAACATAGTGTGTCCACTCAAACTATCATACTCCTAGTTGAAAGCTGACGACTTTCATCACAGTACCTAGGGGAGGAACATATTTCAATGGTCAATATTATGAACAATTCATGAAAAACATACCGGTTTTTGATATCTATACATGCAATTGGACCATCGATTCCCTGATATGGATATATCGGACTTTGTGGATGGAGCACCGCCCTTGTTATGTAAACGCCCCTTCGTCACTATTGATGCAATTGCACCATCGATTCCCTAAAAATGTTAAGCCTGAACTGCCGGGGCTTGGGGCGGCCCGAGGCAGTTCAAGAAGCCCGGAGCCTCATTCAGATGCATCTAAGGATGAAAACGGAACGGAAATATCTCGAACCGAACCGCATCGTTTTCTATATTTAATCCGATCGAATCCGTATTTTCTTGTCCGACTTTACCGTTTTCGCTTTCGCATTTGAGATGTTTCGTATTTCAAATGTAAAAGTAGAAAACGGTTTACACATTTTTCGACCGTTTTCTACTTTTCTACTTTTAATTTGAAATATTCCGAATTTAAAATTCGGTTTAAACCGAATTTTGCCAACTGCACAGGTCATACAACCCAATTACAGGCTGCTCACCACGCAACTGCGTTCTTTCTACTGGTGGCTAGCTGCCCTCTCTTATAGACGGCGCCCAGCCTCATCTCTCTTATTATGTATTTGGTCGTGCACTTGTTTAATGCTATGCACTTGAACTAGATCATGCACTTGTTAGTTGTGAACTTGTTATGTATTTGGCCGTGCACTTGTTTAATGCTATGCACCGTGGGTCGGTATTTCGTATTGAATTTTCGCATACCGACCGTGTTTGACATAATTCCGCTCGAATTGGTTCGTTTCCGAAATTCTAGATATCCCGTAAGTTCGTGTTCGTTTTCGTGTCCGGCTTGTCCGCTTTCGCTTTCGCTTTCGTATTTCAAATGTAAAAGTAGAAAACGGTTGAGGAGTTTTTCGACCGAGTTCGACCGTTTTCATCCTTAGTCATGGAGGTGTTCGAGCATAGCTGGCCTACATACAGGCAGCGTGGTGTTCTGATACGGGCAGAGAGGAGAAACCAATTGTATGTGTTGAAGCTGAACCTCACTGCTCCAGTGTGCCTGCTGACCAAGTTGGAGGAGGCTGCATGGCTGTGGCATGCCATATATGGGCATCTGAACTTTAGGGCGTTGCATGATCATGATATGGAGTACAGTGGGTTATGCTTGGTTGCTGCAGAAGAGCCTAGATCGGTGGAAGAGGCTATGAAGGAACAGTGCTGGAGGCAAGCCATGCAGGTTGAAATGTAGGCGATAGAGGAGAACAGAACCTGGGAGGTGTCTGATCTGCCAGCAAGACAGAGGGCAATTGGCCTTAAGTGGGTTTTCAAAGTAAAAAAAACAGAAGGAAAAGTTGTAAAACACAAAGCAAGGTTAGTGGCTAAGGGTTATGCTCAGTGAAGAAGGTGTCGATTTCGATGAGGTTTTTGCTCCTATGGCGAATTGAAGCAGTGAGGGTTTTGCTAGCGCTAGCAAGACAAGGAGGTTGGCAGGTACACCATATGGATGTGAAATCCGCTTTTTACGAATGGAGACCCTAAGCGAGGGCAGTGTTTGTGCAGCAACCTCCTGGTTTTATGATTGGCAAAGGTGACAAAGTGTTGAAATTGAGAAAAGCACTTTATAAATTTGAGGCAAGCACCAAGGGCCTGGAATTTTAAACTTGATAAGGAGTTGTTGAACCTTGGCTTTGTGAGAAGTAAAATTGAGCATGCTATATACAGGAGAACCGGCAAAAGATCATTCTTAAGTGTGGGTGTTTATGTTGATGATCTAGTAATCTCAGGGCCACATGTCGGTGACATAGTGCAATTCAAAGCTGGAGATGCGGAAAAATTCAGCATGAGTGACTTGGGAGTTACGAGCTATTACTTGGGAATTGAAGTGAAGCAAGGAAGTGATGGGATCACATTGAGTCGAGTGCTTCGCAATGAAAATCTTGGAAAATGCAGGAATGATGAATCGCAATCCATGTGCTACTCCAATGGAGGCAAGACTCAAACTCACAAGAGCGAGAGAAGATGAGGTGGTGAATCCTACGGCATATAGAAGTATTATTGGGAGCTTGAGGTATATAGTAAACACCAGACTAGATCTTGCATATTCGGTTGGTGTAGCTAGCAGATATATGGAAGCTCCAACTAAGCAACTTTGGGCTCGTGAAACACATTCTCGTGTACTTGAAGGGTACAATGAGTTTGGCTACAGGTATGATCGTGGGACTGCACTAAAACCCCTCTTGCTTGGGTATAGTGACAGTGACTATGCAGGTGACACCGAGGACAGGAAAAGTACCACTAGAGTTGTCTATTTCCTTGGGAATAGTTTGGTCACCTGGGTTTCACAGAAATAGAAGATAGTTGCTCTTTCATCTTGTGAAGTTGAGTATGTGGCAAAAGCAGCAGATGACATGTCGTGGTGTGTGGCTTAGTCGGTTGATCGGTGATTTGATGGGAACAAAGGAGATGCCAGTGAAGCTGTTGATGGACAACATGTCGGCCATCGCCCTAAGTAAGAATCCAGTGTATCACGATAGAAGCAAACACATAGATACAAGGTATCACTTCATTCGTGAGTGCATTGAACAAGGCAAGGTGGAGATAGATCATGTCAGGACTGAAGAGCAGCTCGATATATTCACCAAAGCTTTTGGAAGGGTGAGGTTTCGGAGCTTGACGGTATTTGGGCATCATGAAGGTGCATCAAGTTTAGGGGAGTTTGTTAGCTAAACTAGAGCACGATATGTAATCTTTGTCCAATTGAGTCATAGTCCGACTAGATAGGGGATGGACATGATCGGTGGCATGCTAGATCGTGATCCAGCCCGAGTCGGTTCGGTTAGTTGGCGCCACGGCGAGTATTGCGCGCCTTGTGATGCGTGTCGTGGTGAAATGGCGCGCACACAATGCGCGGCGTGGTGGCGGGATCGCGGCGCGCTGTGCCCAAGATCAGGTCATGCATCATATGTATAAAAGGCATGAATAAAGGACCGAAAGCGCTGCGATATCTGGCGGCACAAATCTATTCTTCTCGTGTTCGTGTTTGCAACTACTCAGCTCTCGTTCGGTGGTGATTGCGCCGTGGTGGTGATCGCGCTCGGCCGGTACTCCGCGACGTCGTGTTCTCGATCTTTGGGCAACGTTCGTCCCATCAAATGCGAATCCTTGATGGTGGAGCGAACATCGTGGGGGATCGGTGAGACGTTCGCGGGCGCCGCCGCCAAGCGTACTTCAGGTTCGGCTTGTGGATCTTTGGCTCGGCCTTGGTCACCATGGGATGGCTCGCGTTGCTTGGTGTAGCCGTCTTTGGGTGCGGCTGGCGGCGCGACCGGTGGCGTGGGCGTGGTCGCGATTGAAGAAGGCGCAGAAGGCGGTGAAGGCGGGGGTGAAGTCGTCGGAGCAGTGCTACTGTTTGGCATCGCGGTCGATGGAAATGGAGGTGGTGCTTTCGCGTCGTTCGGGCGCGCTTTGGATCGCGCCGCGATGGCGTCGACAAGTCGTGGCGGTGTTGATCTTTGTCTCGTGGGGGTGGCGCGCACGTCGGTTGGGAAGTGAGGAGGCGGATCCTCGAGCACCGGTGGTGGTTGAGGTACGACCGTATGTTGGTCGCAATGACACACGGAACGGGAATTCGGTCTCGTCAAAGACGACATGGCGCGACGTGATCACCGGACGCATCGTGGACGTCAGAAAGCGCGGTAGCCACGATGGTCCGCTGGGTAGCCGATGAAGACGCACGGTGTGGATCGGTGGTCGTCGAGCTTGTGCCGCGACGTGGCCATGAGGTTGGGGAAGCGGCGGCAACCAAACACGCGCGCAGCTCGTGTCATAGGTCGGCGCGACGCCAAGAGCAACCGGTCTGGCGGCGGCCAGGATGCGCGTGGCACGACGTGGGCGGCGGTTGATGAGGTAGGTCACCGTGGCTTGCGCGCTTCGCCCGAGAACTCCGTCGGTGCAGACCGTGAAGAAGCATAGTTCGAAGACAATCGTTAAGAGTACGAGCACCTTTCGGCCTTCCCATTTCTTTGCGACGTGTAGGGGCAAGACGATCGCGGTGAATCTTTGTCTTGCCGAGAATAGCAAAGCGTAAGGCATTGGAATCAAATTCCTTGCCATTGTCGGTTTATAACGCCAAGATAGGCAAACTGAATCGATTCGAACATAGGCGATAAAAGCGCTAATGGTGGGCAATACCTCAGATTTCTGCCGGAGGGGAAAGGTCCACAGATAGTGTGTATAATCATCAAGATTTCCTGATCTTGGGCAACGTTCTGTCCCATCAAGTGGTATCAGAGCCGAGGTTGGTCGGAGGCGGAGGTGTTCACCGGTGGAGAGGAGTAGTAGAGCACGTCAGGTGACCGAGATCACCAATTCGGAGGAGGAGGTGCTCTGAACCCCAATATCGTCGAGATGGGCACTTCTGGCGAGAAAGAGTCCATGGATCGGGCATTCAATCAGGCCGCTGGCAATTTGGTGTGGCCGATGCTCTCCCGAACAAATTATCAAGAGTGGTCGTCGCACATTCAGTGCAATCTAGAGGGTATGTTCCTCTAGGATGCGGTCACATCTGACCCTGACAAGGTGGAGCGGCGGCGAGATCGACTGGCCCTAGGGGCCATGCTGCGTGGTGTTCCGCAGGAGATGCACTCGATGCTCTTGAACAAGAAGACTGTGAAGGAGGCATGTGAGGCAATCAAGACAATGAGGCTCGGGGCAGATCGTGTCAAGGAGGTGAATGCCCAGAAGTTGCTGGCTGAATTCGAGTCCATTGTGTTCAAGCCAGGCGAGGCCATTGATGAATTTGCAATGCGCATCACGAAGCTCGTTACAGATCTACGAGGGCTTGGGGAGGAGAGTGTCACCGATTCACGGATGGTAAAGAAGTTCCTC